TTTAAAGCATGAGATTGTTTTATTTGGAGATTGTTCTATTGTATCATGATCAATCTAAATAGAAAGCAAAATTTTTGGAAAATCTAAACATTGCTATGTTGATCATTATAAAATATGTTATTTTCTGATAATCATGTAGAGGTCTGAGTAGAAGAGGTCAAATGATCTTGGGCAGAAAGTCAGTGGAGCAGGCACCATTCCGGCACCAAGATTGCAATCACCTCATGTTTTATGTAGTTTTAAAAAACTGCATGACTTGAAAATGTTCCTTCATTCATGGAACATACTTTACCCTAGATATTTTTGCCATTTTGAACATTCAAAATATAACAACTTAGAGATATAAACTGACAGATTTGGGGTTTGTTCCTTCACAGTTGTGGTCATTTTGGTGCCACACTTGACCGACTATTTCACTGGGCAGCACTGTTGCTTCTTTACTAGATAACCACTTTGTTACTTACTCTAGGTGCCATTCATGATGATTACAGACTGTTTTCCACCATCATTCCTAGCAACAAGAAGCTTTCATTATGGGAATTTAAGTCTTTCTGGAGTTTAAATGAATTTAAGACATTGGAATCCAAACTTCAGTGCCGTGAAGTTTCAGAATCCACAGAACTGATTCAGAGAAATTCTTACCACTTTTCCCAAGTGATTTGTTATCTTTAGATAGCAAATAATTTCTACATTTATTAGCTATGTTATCTATGATGCAAGTAATTCTGTTTCCAGTTGAGGTATATAGTTCAGGGAGGTGGGTGAACTATCTCCCATCTTTCTGGTGACTTCTTCAAGTATAGGATTCACCACTTATCCTTACGCCCTCAAAGGGTTTTGGTGGTGTAGAACTTAATGAAAATAGCCTTCTATTTTTAATAAGAATTTAGAAAATACTTAACTTAGAATTATATAGAGTTGTTTTCTTTAGAAACCAGAACTATTAATCTGTATTTAAAGCACTGTTTATTATTTGTACTGATTCTTACCCTTGCGTGTGAATAAATGCTAGACAGTGAAAAACAAAACAATAAATTCTACTTTTATGTATACCTATAATAATTAAAATTAAGTAAAATATTCTAATTATTATATGCAAATTAATATTAGAAAAAGCAAGAAAATGAACTTTGCATATGGTAAAATAAATTATGTTTTGGACAAATGAAGTTTGAGGAATGAAGGTTTTTTTAAGAAAAATGAGAATGCTTACCATTGTAAATGAATTACTCACTATAAGAAAGAAGAAAATATAGAACAAACCCTAAATACATGTATAAGAAAAATTAGAAGTTATTTAGAAAAGGAATCTAGAATAAGAATTTCTTTCTGCACTGGGTATTGAACCCAGGGCACTTAACCACTGAGCCACATCCCGAGCCCTATTTTGTATTTTATTAGAGACAGGGTCTCCCTGAATTGCTTAGGGCCTCACTAAGTTGCTGAGGCTGTTTTAGAACTTGAGATTCTCCTGCCTCAGCCTCTTGAGCTGCTAGGATTACAGGTGTGTGCCACTACAACTTGCAGAGAATAATGAATTTTATATACAGATAATCAAGTTACCATTTAAATGCATTTATGTAATTACTATTAAAATGGTGATTCTTTTTAAAAATATATTTTTATTTATTTGTATGTGGTGCAGAGTATAGAACCCAGTGCCTCACAAGTGTGAGGCAGGAGCTCTAACACTGAGCAACAGCCCCAGCCCAAAATGGTTATTCTTTTTTTTTTTCCAAAATGGTTATTTTTAATATCAAAATTACATAGGAAGCAAACTAGAAGTGGTTTAGTTTACATCAATGTTCATAGCAGCACAATTCACGATAGCAAGATTGTGGAATCAGCCTAGATGCCCTTCAATAGATGAATGGATAAAAAAATGTGGCATTTATACACAATGGAGTATTACTCTGCA